AAAGGAGGACCTTGAAAATGTTATCTCACGAATAACAGGGAAACAATGTGTCATTGACTATCTCGACCCTGAAATCGAATGCTGTGGTCAAACGCCACCATTCATGAAAATAGGTAACATCCGCATCATTGAAACACCAGGTACTCCAGGAGTTGAGTTTAAGTATAAATATTCGAACGAGTATACAAAACTTTCAACAGAATATAAACTTTGCTTGAAATATGTTTTAGTAAATTAAAGCAATTTGTAATATCTATCCAAAACTTCTTCAACAGTATCGAACTCATCTTCATAATGCAAACCTAATCTTATTGACTTGGTGCAGTTTTCACTAACACAATATTTTTCTGTTCTCTTGACTGACATAACTAACTCATTTGTTTCATCAAACAGCAACAACCAAAGTTCATGACCTAATACATAACATTCATACTTTATATTTTTAGCTCTGAGTTCTCTTGTAAGCTGTTGCATTTAATATTTTCTAAAAAGTCAACTTCAACAGTCATTCGCACTGGTGCCTTCAGTTCTACAGGCTCCCTGAAAGTCAACAAGTCTGAATTGCATGTCTTTCAAATTATGAGGACTAATGCGAACCCATTTACCTAAATGAGTTGCTATGACAGGAACGTTTGGAATGAACATTGAATTGACTGCATAACAGAAGGATTTATATTCTACTGAACCTTTACTATTAACTCCTGAAATGCCTGTGACATTAGCTATTTTAGACTCAATGTACAAACAATTACCATAACATACGTATGGAACAGATTTCATCTCAATCGTTTTGTCAACACTTTTCAAAGGAAATGTCATATGGTATGCTCCAAAAGAAGTTGTACTCTATGACTCATTGGTGTTATCTTGAACTCTTTCTTGCTACTGAACTTCAATGTTCCCTCAGAAGAGAGTTCGACATCTATGTTGTCAATAGTTTCTTCATTTATGAGAGTATCTATGACTCCAGCAATTTTATCTATTCTATACTCTGCTCTGTTAGGAAATGTTATAAAACTTCTTTTGTCATCTATTTCAATCTCTATGAAATCTGTTTCATCTGTTATGACAAAAGTTGCGATAGTATTGAAGTCAACAACTCTGAAAGCAAGTGCTTCATTCTGAAGACCTAAGTTTGTTTGAAGCTTTACTGTCCGTATTCGTTTGGGTCTGTACTTTGCAAATAGAACAACATTTTATTCTCATTAAAATATGACTATTGCTGCATATGCGTATGAAACAAATGAAGCAAGAAGAGCACATGAACTAGTAAACGAAAACTCAACTTTAACCATTGAAGGCAATGATTTAGTCATTGACGATGGAAAAACTAAAAAAGTCATTGATTTCGATACTTTTAACACTTATGACCCATTCATTACAATAAGTAAAGTTCCTATCATAAATGATGGAACGGTGCAATATATAAATTCTACAGTAGATGCCTCATTAGTGAAAGTACTGAATGTTCTCATTGAATTGTTAAAGAGCTTTCGATTTGACGACAACATTAAATGCCTAAAGAATTTAGTCATGAATGAGAAACAAATTCTCGGCGTTGCTGGTAGCAGTAATGATGTACACCTTATGACATTAGAATATTATAACGAACATAAAGATGAACTGAAAGGAGAGAAGGGTGACACCGGACCACAAGGACCACAAGGAATACAAGGAATACAAGGAATACAAGGACCTCAAGGCGAAAACGGTTTGGATGGAAAGGATGGAAAGGATGGAAAAACTGCTAAATCATGGATATGGGACCTTATAAATACTGGTTTAACAGCTGCTTCATATGGAGTTCTTCAATACCAAATCGGAAAGATATGGGCAGTACTTGGTGAAGAAGCTTTAGATGACGTTAAAAATGCTTTGAACTTCATTTCAAATGGTTCGGATACTATTAAAACTTTATCTGGTTGGATGCAAGAAACAAGGAGTCAAATAGATACTGTAAGACGTATAGCAAACAATGCACGTACGGGATTGGATACTTTACGAAAAGCACAAAATACACTAAAGGAAGCAAATGATATTCTTGGCTCAGTATCAGACATGCATGAAGATTGGCTTAAAGGTATTGACAAATCTTTAAAAAATCACAGTCAGTCTATTGCTGACTACAAGAAAAGTATAGATTTTTTACATAGTGCTATGGACGTACATGATGGAAGCATAAGGAACTTACTTAATGCTAACAATAACTTACCAGGAACTATTAAAGCATTTATAAAGTCCTTTGTAAAACCCGGTGCTCTAACATTTAGGTCTTTGAGAGCAAGAGCATTGAAGTCAAGAGATGCAGAAACTCCAACAGAACCTACAGAAGGAACTGAAACAACAGAAACTCCAGAAGAACCACCAAAACCAACAGCTAATGAAATATTGTTCGAATATTTTCCAAGGTACTCTGTTCTCATTGCATACATTCAAGAAATACTTAAGAAAGCAGACTTGACTTTAGGAGATGATGAAAGTTCTGTATATCTTTCGTTCCAGTTTCAAATAGCAGAACTTTTGAGACAGATATGCTTAATGTATGACAACATCTCTGATTTCACAAGATATGATGACGACCATGACCCCGAACACGGTGAAGAAGAAGTTTTACAAACATCCATTAAGACAGGAAAGGTTTTAACTCAAAGTCTCATTATTGACACCAAAGATGGCGAAGTGGACGTTCTTCAAGAGCTGAAGAAAAATACTTCTTCGGGAGGTGGTGGTAGGCATGAACTTGAAATAAATGAGATAGAAGAGAAATTAGCCGAAAAAGCAGATAAAGAACATAAACACAATATCTCCGATATAAATGAACTTCAAGCTACATTAAATAGTAAAGCGGACAAAAATGAACTTGACGCAATGAACAAAGTTTTGAAATCTCATAAACACAATATCTCCGATATAAATGAACTTCAAGCTACATTAAATAGTAAAGCGGACAAGAACCACGTTCATTATATAACTTCAGACGAACAGATTATAACGGACTACCATGGATATTTAACACGAAGTGATGAAGCGAAGACAAAAAATGTTAATGAAAGAAGATATAAATACATTCGTGCTAAAGGTTATGACATAAGCTGTACTGTACAGTATGATGTAGCTAAAGCACCAGAAGCATTTGGTTATACCGTGAAATTTATGCCTCTACTTTCAATGTTAACGGTGTATTAGTTGAACCAAGATTTACTTTGAGAGTTAAGTCAAAAATAACGTTTGAAGATGCTATTAAAAGTAAAGCTGACAAAGTTGAACTCGAAGCAATGAACAAAGTTTTGAAATCTCATAAACACAACATCTCCGATATAAATGAACTTCAAGCTACATTAGACAGTAAAGCCGACAAGAACCATACACATAAATCCTTCACTACTGTTAGAGCAGACGACATAATATTGAACTTTGACCTTGGTTCAAGTGCACCTTTAGAGAATCCAAGTACAAGCGTAAAAGATACTCTTAACAATTTAGATAAGAGTTGCAGGAATATCGAAGATCATGCCAGAAACTTTGAAGCATATGAACTACCAACAATGTTAGACAGTAAAGCCGACAAGAACCATACACATAAATCCTTCACTACTGTTAGAGCAGACGACATAATATTGAACTTTGACCTTGGTTCAAGTGCACCATTAGAAAATCCAAGTACAAGCGTAAAAGATACTCTTAACAATTTAGATAAGAGTTGCAGGAATATCGAAGATCATGCCAGAAACTTTGAAGCATATGAACTACCAACAATGTTAGACAGTAAAGCCGACAAGAACCATACACATAAATCCTTCACTACTGTTAGAGCAGACGACATAATATTGAACTTTGACCTTGGTTCAAGTGCACCATTAGAAAATCCAAGTACAAGCGTAAAAGATACTCTTAACAATTTAGATAAGAGTTGCAGGAATATCGAAGATCATGCCAGAAACTTTGAAGCATATGAACTACCCGCAATGTTAGACAAGAAAGCAGACAAAACAGAGCTTCAAACATTAAAGACAGAAATACTTCAAACATTATATCCTATAGGCTCTATTTATACGTCAATGAATTCAACAAATCCAGAAACAGTTTTAGGTTTTGGTATGTGGAAGCAGATTGTAGATAAATTCTTATACTGTGCTAGATATTCAAAGCAAACAGGTGGTTCGAAGAAAATTAAAGAAGCAAACCTTCCACCGCACACTCATACAGGAACTACAAACTTTTCTGGCGACCATAGCCACTCATTAAGAGACCACCCATTATACAACTCAGAATATGAAGCTGGCAATGACGTTTTATCTCCATCTTATAACAATTCAGCAAAAAAGATTTTTCGACCAACTGAACCAGGAGGAAATCATTCACACACTTTCACAACAAATCCAACAGGCTCGGGTGCAGATTATATGCCACCATTTGTGACTGTATTCGCATGGTACCGTGTTCAATGAAATCTTTAACTTTACATAAATGAGCTTGAAAGAAGTATTCGAACAACATCCATGGAGGTCATTTAAGAAGTTCAATGAAGCAGCAAAAAGTTGGGGATTTACTAACAGAGCTGAAGTTAAAAAGTTCTTTGACAAAAATGTTGTACATCAAACAAAAATAAACCCTTACGACTACTTTTTACCAATTTACTCCAACACTCCTGACGCATACCAATTTGACACTCTCATTCAAAGCAGAAAAGGAGGACATAATCCATTCCTCATCTTCATAAATGTTCACACTCGTAAAGCATATGCATATCCAATGAGGAACAAAGGAACTCGTGAAGTGTTAAGAGTTTTACAAAAGTTTGTAGCAGAACATAGCCCAAGTACTTTAACATCAGACCAAGACAGTGCATACCTCAGCAATGAAATCACAGAATTTCTCATTAAGCATAACATAACTCACTACACTACTGAAGACCATAACCATAACATACTCGGCATCATAAACCGCTTCATAAGACTCTCAGAGATTTAAATCAAGAGCGAGACTTTACCGAAGAAACAATGAAACATTTTCTCGAAGTATATAATTCCTCAACGCATTCTACAACAGGACATACACCAAATTCAATGACACAACAACAAGAAGAAAAGTATATACAAAAGAAACGAAGTCAAACGCAAAATATCAGAAATTCAACACAATTTACCCTCATTCCTGGTACAAAAGTTCGTGTAGTTCTTGACGACAAACCGTTGACAAAGAAACGTTTAAGGTTAAGTCGAAATTATTATATCGTAGACTCTACGCAAGGTAATGGATATCTTATAAAAGCTGCTGACGACTCCATAGCATTTTACCCTCGTCATAAATTAGTCGAAAGTAGTAATGGCAAACTTGCTGAAACCATTGACGAAGCAAAGCGAGGAGTGGTTATTGAAATACTTGGCTACAACACAAACGATGACACTTATAAAGTAAGATATGAAGGAGGCGTTGAAGATGTTATACCATCTAAGAACTTGAGAGAATCTAAACCAACACATCTGGGTCCATTAGAGCGGGAGTACTGGAAAGACAAAAATATGCCAGAAAGAATAAGAAAATTCTTCTAAACTTTTTCATTAGATGTAAATCAGACATGAATGAGAACAGTCATGTATTATTAATGGTACCATTTATTTTAACATAAAGACGCAAAGCGGCGAGGACGAAGTCCATGACCAAAAATAATGTTTAGGGTAGATGGTTAGATCTACCCTCATTTCTACCCTCATTTCTACCCTCATTTTTTGTATTTGACGGGAATTAATTCTTGATTTCAGGGATTTTTTGACGAAGTGCAAATCTTCACTTCGTCAAAAATAACAGTTATCTACCCTCATTTTTTGTATTTGACGGGAATTAATTCTTGATTTCAGGGATTTTTTGACGAAGTGCAAATCTTCACTTCGTCAAAAATAACAGTTATCTACCCTCATTTCTACCCTCATTTTTTGTATTTGACGGGAATTAATTCTTGATTTCAGGGATTTTTTGACGAAGTGCAAATCTTCACTTCGTCAAAAATAACAGTTATCTACCCTCATTTCTACCCTCATTTCTACCCTCATTTTTTGTATTTGACGGGAATTAATTCTTGATTTCAGGGATTTTTTGACGAAGTGCAAATCTTCACTTCGTCAAAAATAACAGTTATCTACCCTCATTTCTACCCTCAGCCGCTAAGCGGCGAGACCCAAAGGGTCTTGAATTTTCATGAATTTCCTTAAGATGAAAAAAATAAAGTTAGTTTTATTTTTATTTATTTTTTATTTTGTATAAAAGATATGATTTCAACAATCGGCACAACAACAATTCAAACAACAGCACCAAATTCGTTAGTCATGAATCCAACATCTATGTTAGTAGAGATGAAAAGCTTTATTCCTTCTTCATATACTTTTGAAACAAAAATCCAGAAGATAAAGCAAGAACTTTTAACAAGTAATTTAGACTGTACCGCACAGGATGAAGAAAATGAAGAATATCTTTATGACATGCAGGACATTATTGACCATTTACCCAAATTGCCTGAAATCCAACAACAAAAGCTCACTATTCATGAATTCGATGAAATAGAAGTGAAACCAACTGACTCAGTAGAAATAAAGAAGTTCATACGTAAAGTAAATTATGAGTTTCTAGGATATCATTGCAACCATAAAGTTATGGACAAAGATTGCGACATGGTATATAAGAACATCTCTGACATATATAAATCCGAAGAATTTAAGACATACGACAACTTTGTTTCATTAGTTGCAGAATGTGTATGGCAGATAAGAGATAAAGATAGAAGAGGTAAGGTATGGAATGAACAGATAAAACCAACTGCTTTTGAGTTAAAGAAAACCATTGACGCCTTAGTTGTTCTAGCAGGTCAAATTTCAATGTATAACGCAAAAATGAATCCACAATGTTCTAAATGTAGAAAGCAATGAGGAAATATAACTACTCCGTCAAAGAGATAGAACGTATGAGAAACGACTATGCTGACTTAAAGAAAGAAGTAGAGAAACCAGCAGAAGATAAAATGGACATGTTAGCATTTCTGAACAAAAACTATCCAACTGCTGACGATTTCCTATTATCTGACGTCAAGAAGAAGTATAAAGAAACCTTCGGCATTGTTAAAACATTCGATGTACTAAAAGAAGAAATAGAAGCTACAAAACTGTTTAGAATCTCACGAATTCATAACGTATATCATGTAAAATGTTTATAAAATAACTGGGGTAGAAATGAGGGTAGAAATGAGGTTAGATCTAACCATCTACCCTAAAATATATTTTTGCTGAATTCAACACAAAAATAATGAATTTCCTTAAGATAGAAAAAAATAAAGTTAGTTTTATTTTTTTCTAACTTTTTATCTTGTAGGTAAGAACAAAAATGTCAGTCGAAGCAAAAACATTCACTAACAAATATAATGGCGAAACATTCACAAAAGGCACTTATAACGGTATTGAAGTCTTACGTAGAGACAAGGATGGTTATATAAATGCAACAAATATGTGTCAGCAGTTTAGGAAAGACTTTAGAAAGTTGTTGGAAAATAAGTCCTGGGAAGAGTATTATAAGGCATTTTGTGAAGAATATAGCAACCGTCTGAATTCCGGCGGTTGCTTTTTATACAAAATTCATGCAGGAATTCCTGATGAAATCAAACAGGTTAGAGGAACGTATGTAGACGCAAGACTTATAAACTATATAGCAATGTGGGCTTCTCCAAAATATTGCATAGCAGTTGGAAAAATTATGGATTCCATAGACAAGAAAGTTCATGAGAAGTTAGATGAAGAAGAACTCGAAGATACAGTAGAGAATGCAAAACATTTGTTTGAAGAAGAAGTTAGAAAAATGTGCGAAAAACAATTAGAACATGAACGTGAGATATATTATGGTTATAGAGACTCTCCATACGAACTAGACCAATGGGAACAAGAAGATTTAAAGAGAGAATTTAGAGAATATGAACTCGCTAAGATAGCATTAGAAACTGCAGAAAAGAAGTTAAAAGTTTGGGGTCGTTTTGTACAAAAATATTGTGAGTAAATGAACTCATTATTTTTGCTGAATTCAGCACAAAATTCTGAGTAAAATGACATATGGCATGTGTCAAACCGTTGAGTTTTCACAAATTTTAAAAATTGCTGCGGAAAGTTCGTCAAAAAAGTGAAGGTTCCCGACGGTTTCAAACCGCCATACTTTACATGAAGATAGTTTACAATGTCAACTAAATATCATGTACGATAGAAACGGTTATGTAAAGTTTACATTTTGTAAAGTTTTGTCCTGATTCAAGACAAGTCTTGTATTTTTTCAGAACAAGACTTGTATTTTTTCAAGACAAATCTTGTCCTGATTCAGAACAAGACTTGTATTTTTTCAAGACAAATCTTGTCCTGATTCAGAACAAGACTTGCACTTTTTAGTCAGTTTTTCTTGTAAAGTTCTCAAATTTGAGAACAATTGTCCTGATTCAAGACAAGTCTTGTATTTTTTCAGAACAAGTCTTGTATTTTTTCAAGACAAATCTTGTCCTGATTCAAGACAAGTCTTGCACTTTTTCAGGAAATCCTATCGTCCAACTTTACAAATGTCACTTTTCAACATGATTGCATTTTGGTCGGGGAACAACTTTCTCTCATTTTGTCACTTTTTTCTATCGTCGTGTTTTGTCACTTTTCCCTCAGGGTGTGTGTCAGAAAATATCCAAAATCTTTATAGCCTCGTATCTCCTTCAATTCTTGACGGTTTGACATGTATGACACACCATTCAATTCAGAATTATGTGCTGAATCTTATGACCTTCATTTGTTCGTGACTTCTTTTCACATATGTAACCATGAATTTTTAACATTTCTTTAACACAGAAAAATAAAGTTAGTTTTATTTTTATTTATTTTTTTATTTTGTATGTAAAGACAGAAATGTCAACATCAGAGAACACAACAACTGCTATCGTTCATGAAGCCATTAATGAAGAATACGAATACATACAATATAACAAACAACAGTTAGTATCCCTAAGTCGTGTACTGTGGCACTGCGCGCCTCCGTACACCACTTAGCGGTTTTGACACTTTACGAAACCGGTAACGTATATTTTACAACACAACCATAAAACCAACTTAACCTTAAATATTTACAAAACCGTCTGACACATAAATGACTTCACTAACGACTTCACTAACGAATTCACTACCGTCCTCACTAAATAAAAAATAACCTTATTTTTATTTTTTTTTAAATTTTTTATTTCATTGTAAAGACATGTCCGACTATATTTACTATGACTCTTTCCCAGAACGTTTCCGTGAACTATTCAAAACTCAAGTAAAACTGAGAAACATGCATTTTAACAAAGACAGACCCATTGACGATGAAAGAAACCCTGAATATATTACAATCCCTTATGACGCAAAGTTCATTGCATACATTCCTTATGGTCGCAGAGGAACGAAAACTATTTCAACAAAGAACAAAAATTATTTCTGGAGCGATGAAGAAAATTGCCTTATCTACATAAATGCATACTTAAATAAAGCTACATATTGTACAAAAGAAGGTTGGACTGGATTTGAGCTCTACATATACGACGACGATGGAAACAGACGTTGTGTATACCCATACGATAATATGTACCATTGTTTTCATCAAGCATTAAACGAATACATAGTCAGTAAGGGTCTCATTCCTGCTGAGTAGAAATGTTATATTTTTGTTCTGTCATTTATTTAAAAATTAATGATATCACCACCCTCACACGTATGAAAACATAGCGCAAAAATAAATTTAGGTGAAGTGGTGAAATCTCACCTCTTTTTTCACCTCTTTTTTCACCCGTTGAATTCATTGCTTTATAACTCTCTTCCTTTCTCCAACTCTTCTAACTTCTTCTTAAGTTCAGCAATGTTGTCCTCATGAAGTTTAATCTTTCCTTAATATACCTTCTCTATCTAATGGTTGCTTTATCTTTCTAAACTGAACTCTACCATCCTTCATAGTATGAACGTAAAAACCTTCTGGAACCGCTCCTGATTTAATGTATTCTACCAAAAATTTTTGTTTCATTGCTTCAGTGACTTTAGTCGTCATTTTATCAAATAAAAATGTTCAAATAAAATAAAAACTAACATTATTTTTCAGTAAGGAAACGCAGGAGTTTTACGATTTATTTGAGGAGTAGGTTCTGGTTTAAATGTTGGAGTCGGTTTTGGAGTTGACTTTTGAACAGGAGTTTGTACTTTCATAGGTTCAGGAGTCATTGAAGGTTTTGTTTGTGAAGGCGTTGGTTTTGGCGAGGTGTTGGAGTTTGTTAATTCAGCTACTTCAGTATTATTTATAACATTTGCTTTATTTCTTTTCAACATCATTACTGCTCCTGCTGTAGCTAGCAAACCTAGTGGGAGACCATATTTATATAAGGACTTGACCAAATGCTATTTTTGACAGGAGCTGGTGGAACACCTAACCTTGGTGAGACTGCTCTTTGCCATTGTGCAGCTCGTAAGAAATATTCAATAGGTGCTCCATAATCGTTTGGTAAAGTTTGTTTCATAGATGGTGAAGGTTCACGAGAGCTTGATGAAGAACTCATTTATAAGCTTTAAAAATAAACGTTCATCCTTTATTCCTCACTGTCGTCCGTGCTAAGTTATAGTCGTCAAGTCTTATTATTGGATGCCTGACTGTCTTACTTGTATTGCAAAGCAACAATCCCTCATAAATCCAATAAGTGGCTTTGGTACGTTTTCAGTTGCTAGTTCAATAGGTCCTTTAACAGACAATTTGTATGTTATTGGAGCAGTAGATGTTTGACCTTGCTGGAAGCAAAAGTCCACTTCTGTTGGAAAACCACATAAGAAATGTGTGTTGTCATAGCTATCCCATTTATGTTCCACACTACCATCATCCACCAATGACCTCATAACATCTTCATTAAATCCAATCATATCATTGTTTGTATTGCAAGCGTTCGCAACCATTTCATAAAATACAGGTCCATATGATTTTTCAGGTTCTGCAGGCATATTTCCATAAGCTCCCATGGAAAGCTGAAGATATTTAAACTTAGGGTTCTCAAAATTAACATAATAGTTGTCTTTCTTTCTAAATAGTGCCCAAATACTTTTAACATTAATAGGCGTATAAGCTGCTGTAAATGTTGCACTTGAACTATCTGTATTCTTTGAGAATGAACCGTCCATAGGAATCCAATCCATAACTTTAACAGGAAAACATAAAGCCTCGTTTGTAATAATGTTCTACAAGTTCTGTATAAATGTTAGGGTCTAAAGAGAATGACTTTGGATGAATGAAACATTCATTAAAAATCCATCTTTGTTCGAAATAGTTGCTGGGTTACAGTTGTAATAGTAACTGTTCCACTAGCTTCTATGCCTTCGTTATCATAGTGAATGGTTTCATTCCATGGAACAAATTTATTTGTCGTGGATTTGAATCTGAAGCAAATGCAACTTTAAGAGTTGGATTGAAAGCAATGATATCATTTACAGATATAGATGTGCATTGTAAGGCGTCGCTTACTGAACTTTACTTTAAGCTGAATGTTTCCTGCAAAAAGCTGGAATAAATCGAATAGCTTCTAATGGAAGGAATCTTCTAACAGGAATTCTTAAACGAAGCTTAAAATCAAATGATTTTCCTGCTGTAATTGGACCACTAACAATTTGTCCTGTTCTGCATGTTCCCGAATGACTCCATACATCTTCATGTCGAGTCTTTGAGAAAACATCTACTTTCTTTATTTGTTCGGTAGTTTGTGAGTTTGAAGTTATATATGCTTCTTCTCTTGCGTTGTCTTGAGAATATACGATACGACCATTTGCAAGGATTTGATATCCAGCAACTGCATAGAAAGCGTCATCGAAACCAATCCAAAATCCTGGTGGGTTTGTTTTATTGGAACCTGAACCAATTTCTTTATCTACAATAAATTGACCTTCCATTTTATACGTAATGAATGTATTGTAAAGGTCCAACATATTTTCACCAGGAGGTGAGAGATTGAATGTTACCATGTGTTATCTTTAGCAGTTCCAGGTTGTGATGGAATCTTTGCGTCAGAATATTTTCTATTAGTGTCACCAATTTGAACTGCATTGTCTATGATATCGAAATATGAGCGAATCTGATGAATATGCTCTGCTGGAGTAAATTCGTTTAACTGTTCGTTCTGCATGTATTTACTTCAGATAAAAATATCTATTTACTTCATTATTCTCACTCTTCTTCTTGGTATTCGTGGTGGAAGTTGTTTCTTGACATTTTCAATGAACTGTACATTCTCTTTTGTCTCAACTTCTTTCACTGGCGGGTCAGGGTTCTTTGACTCGGTTTGTTTTTCAATGAAATTCACGAACTTTGCAATAAGCTCTTGGTTCGTTATTGAAAGACATCTGGCTTCTTTTCTTCTTGTTCTATTGACTTTTCAGTTTGAATAGAAGGTTTTATATGGGCTTCACCCTCTTGCCATGCACCTTAATGTTGTCGCTCTCTGCATTCGCTAATGGAACCTTTCTTTTTCTTACGTATATTTTACCATCTTTACTCTGACTTACATAATAGAAAGGATGTTGTATTCCTCTTGCGTCATTTAATATAATAGACTCTCGCTCTGATTTTGACAAGCTCATTTTACATCGGTTAAAGTTTTAATTTAGTTTTTTATCTACAGTCAAATGACTCAGACAAGTCCTACGGACAAGACCCAAGGTGTCATAGATGTTGAAGCATTGAAGAAAGAAATTCGCGAGCAAATTTTATCCGAACTGAAGGAACAAAAACAAGAACAAAAGCCAGAGAGACCAAAGAGAAAACTTAGT